AAAAAAAAAAAAAAAAAAAAAAAAAATTATTTATAGATATATATATATATATATATATATATAGATGTCACATTTTTCATAACAATGTGGCCCTTGTCAAAGTAAATTTACTCTAAATGAAGGTGGATTAAAAATAAAAAGACTATAAACCCTACTGATTTCCTGCAAAAACTGGTAATGCTTCTATCCCAGTGCAAAGCCGTTTTATCATCCTTGCCCTTCTTAAATCCACCGTGAATGAACGCCTCTCTGGCAGAGGAATGGCTGATCTCTCGGGCCTTCCTCTGCCGTTTGCGGGGGATAAGGTGATCCTTGTCCCTCGGGGATCATCAGGTCATAGTGGTCACTGAGCTTTCCACTGGGGCATGAAGGGATGCAGCATCCAGCTACACTCTCATCGTCAAAAGAAAAGGAGAGAGAAAAATGACAGGAAAACATAGATTTTAATGGATTTATATTGTACTTTTTTTTTTGCATATTGCAAGCCTGAACTGATAGAGATTTCCAGGTTGAGTCGATTCATAGTCCAGCATCCCTGTGATGGCTGTTATCTCCAATCAGATTGCGCTGCTGAGGAGGAGGGGCCCAGCCAGGCAGGATGCTTGATGTCAGCTGTCGAGCTTCCAAGGAAACGAAAGGGAGATGTCGACGAGAGGTCAGACGCCCACGTACAGTAAGAGGGGTTTTGTTATCCGCAAAGATAAAGGAGCGCGGTGTCCCTTTTACCGTATTGCTTTTCCCAGATGGCCTTAAAAAAAGTGACGCATGCTTGGTCCATTTGATCTTGCAGGCAAAGCCTCGACCTCCACATGGACGATGACCTCAGCAGGTACGCTGACCCCCGGGGGGGCCTCACGTTGTCCAAGAGGAGTAAATGAACCGGTAGATTAAAACTAGGATGTTTCATTCACAGATCCGAAGGCGAGGATCAGCAAATCAAGATGAAATGTTTCAGGTGACATTCCAAAAACACTGAAAAAGACCTCCATTTTATTTTTTTAGGGCCTTTTAGTTTCATTCCTTTTCCTAAAACGGCAAAAAAACTCGGGAGTGAACTCCAAATCTTCCCTCAGATCACTCGCTATCGACTGGTTGAAAGATGGTTCTGCCCACAGGGAGCCTCACCGGCAGATTGAAAAGCGGCGGAGGGATAAGATGAACAACCTCATCGACGAGCTCTCAGCCATGATCCCCGCCTGCCAGCCCATGGCCCGGAAACTCGACAAACTCACCGTGCTACGGAAAGCCGTCCAACACCTGAAAGCCCTCAAAGGTAGCTCGGCCGACCACCTGTTCATTCAGAGCACGGGTCGGGAGGATTTTGCCCCGTCTAAAAAACCCGTCCTCCCGTTTTCCAGCCGGATCGAGCGGCGCCTTTTCAGACACCACCTGCAAGCCTTCCATCCTGCCTCACGACGACCTCAAGCACCTTCTGCTCAGGGTAGTTGCTCTGGCTCACCAGTGTTCTTTGGTTATGTGAAGATTTATCTACATTTTAATTTGCGCATCTGTGTACCTCCCAGGCAACAGATGGTTTCCTGCTAGTTGTAAGTTGCGACCGTGCGAAAATCCTATTCATCTCAGAGTCTGTCTCCAAGATCCTCAACTCTAGCCCGGTGTGTTTAACTCACTTTGTCCTACTAGCGTCCATTTAGCTTTCATTGCTCTTTTCATCACATATACAGGGGTTAACAAGGCAAAGGTTTCTGAGCATTTTGGTCATTTCCTCTGTCTAAGATGAAAAATACCCAACAGGGTTTTTGTCTATAATCTGGCTCATAAAGACGCAGAAAATCAGATGAGATCGCTAAAAACGAAATGTTGTGTTACGAAACTAAAGCTCTTTCAAATATTGAAAACAACTCATGTAGATGTATTGATTGGTTTGTAGTTGGAGCTGACTGGGCAGAGCCTGTTCGATTTCATCCATCCCAAAGACATCAACAAGGTGAAGGAACAGATGTCATCTTCGGTGATGCCTCCCTACCAACGCCTCATTGACGCAGCAAGTACGACCTCTGGTAGAAAAACAACACTGAATATTACCGATTAAGAGAAAAAAACAAATGAGGGGTTTTTGTTTTGGCTGCAGCTGGAGCTCAGATCCAGTCGGAGCCCCCCGTCCCGACGTCCCACATGACGACCGGAGCCCGGAGATCCTTCTTCTGTCGCATGAAGCACAGCCGGGTCACTGGGAGGCACGAAGACAAGCACTCGCTGCCCGGCGCCTCGAAAAAGAAAGGTGGGCACGGAGCGGGGTTGGGTTCCCATATCGGGTTGTGGCGGCTGAGCGGCACACCTGCGCCGTACACGTGACGGGCCCCCGCTCCTCAGCAGGAGTGGGACCACGAGGCATGTGCTAAACAGCTGATGTTTATCAGCTAATACGAGCGCTGTGTTTTCCTCTGAAAAGGGACCGCGCTCACATGACCAGCTCAGCCGTGTCCTGTGGCGCTGGGCTTAATAAAAAAACGTCCTGTCGAAAATAGAAACGTTAATTCTTGTTTGGATCCCAAGACTGTACACATTGGAGCATAAAAAAAAACATTTAGTCCGAACAGAGTCTAATCCTCTTTTGTCCTTAGAAGAACATAGCAACACAGGTTGGGTTTTCAAGCTTTTTCTCAGAGCAGCTGTCGGCACGGTGGTGGAGGGCTGGTGATGTGGGCTGGTTCCGTAGCCACCATAAACTCCTCTGTGTACCAAAAGTGTGAGGCAATCTGCCGGATAGAAAACTGACACCGAGTCACGAACAGGATGACGACCTCAAACACATCCACAAATCTACCCAAATATCTGAAAATAAAAAGAATTAAGGGGCTGTGACGACCAAGGCAAAGGTTGAAATGTGGAGGGTTGGTGGAACTGAGAGCTGAGGCTGGTGGAAAAGATATAAATGCAGTTGCCATTTTATGGGCTGCTTGCATACAGAAATAAAAATTAATCATAATCTGATCCTCCTTTTTTAAATCTCTGCCTAATCCTAAAGTTGCTTTCCGACTTTTTCGATAAACGGGTGAAACTTGTATCTTCCTGGTCTGATTTTTTTCCCCCTCCAGTTTATCAAATGGTGACATCAACTGTGTCACCGAGGGCTGCTTATTAAACTCAAACGTAAAATATAAACCACTTTCTAAAAGTAGGTCAGCTTAAATAAGCGACTTCTTTAATAGAAAAGGCTCAATATTTGGCTTTTAAATAAAATTTACGAGGCCACAATTTAAAACACATTTCCCTGCACAGGAAGTAGGTCAGTGTCATTGCATTGTGTGACCGAAAAACATGAGTATGGTCCAATGTTTGTTCTGTCATCTAATCTAAAAGCATCAGAAATAGGAAGCTTGGCGCCACTCAGTGGCAAAACATAGGAACTGCACCTAATTTTTTTATAAACCGTAAACGACTTTGCTGCTTTACAGTCTTTCTTACAGCACAAACAGGAATTTGACTCCTTTAATCATGACATTATTCATAGTTTGAACTTTAAACAGCTTTCATGTTAATGCAGCAGAGATGCAAAAGCCTAAGAAAAAAAACTGAAACAGTTTACACAGCCTTTACCGGACGTGAACAGGCCTGTAATGACAATAGATTATGGCACTTTTCTTATCAATGTGTTAAAATGCTCCCGAAAATGATTGCGTGATTTTGATTAAAAACAATTGCGGCCATGAAATGATGACATAAAATGTTTCCAAAAGGGCTGACGAAGACCTAAGACTTAATCAGTCTTTAATGGGTATGGCTGCATAAAATGGGGACTCTAAAAGTCTAACAGAAACATGCCGGGACAATAAGTCTTAGATTTATTTCGGTGGAATGACTTAAGAAGTCCTGAGTAAACTGCACTGTCATTGATTCTAGCCAGTGAGGGGAAGATGCTGTGGTCGACAATATTAAGCATTTGACCCTTTCTGCACTCAACAGTAGGCTATTAGTGTCTGAGCAGTGTTTACGATCCGTCCACAGAAACGTACAGATACTGCACCCTCCACTGCACTGGATACATGCGCAGCTGGCCCGGCAGCCAAATGGACTCGGAGAGCGACGCCGCCGATAAGGAAACCTCCAGCCTGAACTGCCTGGTGATGGTGTGCCGCCTCCACACCCACGTCTCCCACCAGCCCCCCAAAGACGTCCACATCAAAGCCACCCAGTTCATCACCCGCTGTGCAATCGACGGCAAGTTCACTTTTGTAGATCAACAGTGAGTGTCATTTTCTTCTAACCGCATCCACCTGCACCTCTTTGCCTCCGATTTGCTCCGAATGCACGGTTATACTGAAAAAAAGAGAGAAAAAAAAACAAAAAATGGCAGCGGCGTGTTGTGGTGAGGAGGCCTCTGAGTGTCACCAGCTTAAGTTTTGTCGGTTCGTCTGTGTGTGGGGATAATCCTGTCTGTCTTTGCCGTTGTTTCTCAGAAGAAGCCGTGCGTCCTGACGGACCCTTCTAGATTTTTGGGAAGTAATAACACATTTCAGGTTTTGTATTTGGCCTTTAAGTCGATCTAATTTCTCACGTGTGTGTGTGTGACCCATGAATTCTCACAAAGAGAGGCTCTCTCTCGGCGTCGACGTGCCGCTGTTTTAGGGCACGGCGTAAATGCTCCTGAGACGAAGGGAGAGCACGAGCAGCCAAACTCTGATCGCGCTTGTCTCTCTTTTCCCAGAGCCACAACCGTCATCGGCTACCTGCCGCAGGAGGTGCTCGGCACGTCGTGCTACGAATACTTCCACCAGGATGACCTGCAGCACCTCGCAGAGAAACACAGGCAAGGTGAAGGAGCCGAAGACAAACCCCGCTGGCAGCCTTAATCCCGAGACGCAAACCTCCTCTTTTTTATTATTTTTAAAGCACGGAGAAGTTTTCCTTCCTCTGCCTTCGTAACAACCCCTTATCTCCCATCTCTCCGCAGTTCTCCGGAGCAAAGAAAAGCTGGAGACGCAGCACTACCGATTCAAAACGAAACACGGCTCCTATGTTTCACTCCAAAGCCAGTGGTCTAGTTTCACCAACCCGTGGACCAAAGAAGTTGAGTTTATCGTGTCTTTAAACAGGGTCGTCTCGTAAGTATGGATTCATTTCGTACACACGGATACGGTAGCATTACTGGAACCAGGTGTGCTTTGAGCCCTCCTTTTTTTAACGATCTTTGCGCTGCACTTTTTTATGTGAGCCACAGCTTTCAGGCGCAGGGACTGAAATAAAGAATCCCTAATGCTCCTTTGCACCAACAGGGGGCCCGGTCACACTAAAGACACCGAAGAAGCGGGCAGCTCCAAAGCACTTCAGGGTAAAAACCCGCAGGTTGCACGTTACACCCGCACACTCGGGTCCATGGATGTCACTCTTTATGTGCTTTATTTCTGCTTCCTCAGAAGATACGAATCAGCTCCCTGAAATTCTGGGCCTCTCGGATGGCCGGGGCACCATGATCTACGCCGGCAGCATAGGGACACAAATCGCAAATGAGCTCGTGGACACCTACAGGTACATCCCAGGGAATCGTATAGAACTTAAAGGAGGAAGAGGTCTGTCAATATAAGGAAAATGGTTGAACATGAGTTTAGATTAAATACAATTTATGTGTATTTTGTGTATCTATCTATCTATCTATCTATCTATCTATCTATCTATCTATCTATCTATCTATCTATCTATCTATCTATCTATCTATCTATCTATCTAGAGCCAATTACATTTCTTTATGTCCAACTTTGACAAACAGGGCGAACTCATCCCCATCGAGTGGAGCCTCCAGCCCGTTCGGTTCCATCCAGGAGAAATTTCCGCAGACCAGCCGGAGTGTGAGTGACCGGCCAGAGGCCGGGACAGTTACGTTACCTCCCACTTTCCAGCTGGAGGGTCTCAATGTCCAACCGCTTGTTTCTTGTTTCAGGCGTCCAGTGGAGAGGAGGGAGCGGGCAGCTCCACGCAGTCCCTGTCCCAGGCCGAGCCAAAGACGGCGGCGGGCGCCAGCGGCGAAACGCCGGAGACTCCAGGTACTGTCAGATAAATAGTCGGAAGCTTTGGGAGAAAACCCACAAAGGCTATCAAAAATGTTCAAGTTCTTTTCACATTAATGTTAGTAAAGAACCCTGATTTATAATCTTTTATCCCTTTATCTATATGGATATTGTAATAAGGAGATATTTATGTAAAGATATTGGATTATATTCATAGCATTTTCTATGTTCTATTTCTGCAAAAATATATTACAACTGTCATGACTATGGTTTAGGTAGTTTTTAAGTTATTGTTATTATTATTATTGGGTATTTTAGTGTTTCCATAGTCCCAGAACCGGTCATTTCCATTCACAGCTGCATATATCTGCAGTAGTCCAGAATGGGCAAGTCAAAAGCTGGCAATAGAATGGACGTTACTTTTAAGAGCCTCCATAGTTTGAGCTGCATGTATGAAGCCGGACCACGAGATGAGACATCCTCTGTTTCTGGTAGTTCGTCATAACACCCCTATATGTCTCTGCATACTGTACTACTCCTCACAAGGTCACCAGTCGACTAGGAAAACTTCCTAAGATTGTTTCAAATCCCAACAATCGGAGCCACTATATGACAAGACATAATAGGTATTACGAGTCAAATTTGAAATATATATTTAAAAAAGCTGTTTCTTGGTTTTCTACCCAGATTTATTCTACACGCAGTGGCAACTGGACACTTCAAAGAAGCAACAGACAATGCTAACATTAAGATTAACATCTTAGGTTAAGAGAACTTCCTGTCTGATGATAAGATTCTCCAGTTTCTTTGCAAACATTTATTGTCCTTAATTCCTCCCCCGAGTATTTAAGACAGGTGTGAATCTGTGGAATGAATAAGTTTCTAATTTACAGATTGTTTCATGGTTCTGGGCTACAGCCCGGCCCCCCTCATGTGATCCCCGAATGGTTTTCATCCCTGAGCATTGAGAACAAGTGAAGAAGAAAAGGACAGAGAGAAACTGAGATAATCACAGATAATCTCCCGTTTGTTTTCCCCTCAGGTGAGCCGTCCCAGCTGGACCTGGAGGGCATCGTGGTTCCGGGGCTCAGCAGCTTCAGCAGCGACGAGGCAGCCATGGCCGTCATCATGAGCCTGCTGGAGACCGACGTCAACATGGGCCAGTCGGGGGACTTCGACGACATACACTGGCCTTTTTAGAGGGGGGCTCCGGCTCTGAGCCCCTCTCGCTCGCCCTTGTGCCGTTTCTCGCCGTTCGCGGAGAACTCCCTCTCCTTCGTTCTGGGAACTTTGAAGACTCGTCTGCCCATATGTAGTCAAGCCTGGTGGACTTGCACCGAGGAGCTTCTACATGTCGCCCGAGCTAAGCTGGAATTTTCGATTTGCAGTAGACGTTGTGACTGGGGATAATCCATTTGTTCCCTCGTCTTTTAAAAAAAAGGAAAAGCGAGGTCAAAATGCTCCCGGAGCCTGTTTGGAGTCAGAGTCGGAGTCATCCTCGGTGAGACTTTCGCGTCCCGAGGGGGCCAAACCAAGGCTTTCCAAGGAACAACGGTATTTGTCCTCAGCTGCCCCTGAGTGACCGACACATGAAGTAGAACGAGAGTCCTGTTGTGAACAATGCTGCTACAGCAGGGACTGAAGGCAATGGCGTTACGTCTGTCATATGTTTCCTTACAAGGTTCGCATTTCCCTTTTTTTTTAAAATCGTTGAGGATCCTTATTTGACTAAACGACACGAAAAGAAATAGAAAAAAAAAGGACCACCGTCACTGGTCTAGTTACATTCCATCCAGGTCATTTGGCAAAGCATTGCAAACTAAAAAAGACTGGATTAAGACGAACAGCAGCTGTTTATTCTCATTTTTATAAACAAAACTCCATCCGTTACTTGTTATTGAAGAACCAGACCTGAACCTGACGGGCACAGTGCAACAAAACTAGTGTTATCACGTGGCTCACTTCTTAAATAAGCAAATATTAAGAAACATTGTCGATTTAGTGACCTCATTCTGGGCTTCACAATACAAAGGCAAGATAAACAATCTCATTTTCATGAAGGGGGCTATTCCTTGCTTCACATTCTCATCTATTCACCAGAGAAAAAGCTGTGATTTTACATTTGTGGAGACCTGTGGATCCCTAGACTCTCATCACTTCTCACGCCACCGTTAACCGTTTCATGAAGCCACGACATGAATGAATGTGTGCCTTTTTCATGCAAAAACCGACAGCTTTCTGCTTCACACTTCCAGGAGCTGGGTTTATTTTTTTGCTTTTGTAGCTCTTTAAAGTCCCCATCCAAATCTCTGCTTCTCTTCTTGCTTTGCGCAGAGCGCAGGCTCCTCGCAGAGTGCCCACTAGCTGACGACGGGTGATCGGCGTCGGCGCCTTTTAAACCGTGGAACTTTGCCTCTGTTGCCCGAGAGCCGTCGCTGAGTCGGCTGTGACTTTTTCCACTGAAGGTAAAAAAAATACAATAAAAAAAAAGGCATAATTTTTCTTAGGTGACAGGACTGCTCCTTTTCAAATCCCTGTATCTCCAAAGCACCTTTGATTATAGTGACTTACTCCAGAAAGGGCTGTCTTTAAAAAAAAGAAAGAAAGAAATGAAATTTTGTCAGAGTTCAAATGTCATTTCCTGCCTGAAAAAACAAAACAAAACATGCATGCAAGCGCTTCAGAACATATGTTGTTTGCTCTTTGATCCAGCAGAGGATGCTCCAGTAGTAGATGAAGATAATGCATGCCCTGGTAACCCCCGAGTGAAATAAGCCGGTGACTGCTTAGTATCTGAAATATCTGGATGATTTTTCTCCTAAACAAGTTCTGATTTGAAACAAACAAGCTCGATGGACTTCCACTGAAGTTTGCAAATGCAGCATGTGTAAACGAGACATTATTTGAGAGCGTTTTAATTCAAATTTGCCCGAAATTGAGTTTTGAAAAACCCCTTTTTCTCTACTGGGTCAGTTAATCGGATGATCCAGGTGCATTATTTTAAAGGAAAAGGAACAATGAGAACACAGAAGAGTCCCAACCTCTTGATCAAGTCTAGCTAACTGTCTCTCATTAGGTTTTTGAGTTGACAAACCACGTTTCAGGCACCCTAAACGGCATCAAGTCTTAATATCCCTTAAATAGACATTTACCGAAGAAGAAAATTGATTTTTTTGTACATGTTACAAATTAACGCCGCCATCAGCGAAAGTTATTGCTAACAACAGCCACAAGGGAATGTGTTTCAAGCCTTTACTTCAGGACTTATTTTTATATGACAAATACTTGAATATTGACTCTTGTTTACCCTGTCAGTCCAGGCTGTTTAACAAAAAAAAGAAAAAGAAAAAAAGACATCCAAATTCTGTTCGCCCACCTTCTTTTCTCTTTAGGCTGAAGAAAGTCAAAAGGCAAATGACACTTCAATAGTTTTACATCTCATATTGAGCCGGCTGCTCGAGCTGAAAGCATGAAATTCGAGGGAATCAATGGGGGGGGGGGGAAACAAACGCTGAGGCCTTTTAGGGGAAGGATTGCAATTTTGTTTCAAGTCCTGGGATTTCTACTAAATGTGTCTTTACATATCAGTGTGCTCGGTGACCTGCTGAACTTTTGGGAAAACACGGATGACCGAACGCTGATGTATGAATCTTTTTCTGGTGTCGACCAGAGTCAGAGCACATAAATCCTTCCTCTTACCCTGAAACAGTGTTTAAACCGTCCACCGCGTCCCGTTCCGAAAGAAAACTCCATCATTTGACATCTCAACGCTGTTGAGGGAGTAGCTTGTTCTGTGGGATATTCGGACGGATATTTGTCAGCTGGAAGGAGTCAGAAGGCAATTCAGCCACTGTGAAAGCAGTGATTTAAGCTAAAGACGAGGCCTCTAAATCCACTGTGAATGCACAGGAACTTTTGGAGCCCAAAACTGGAGTCTTATTGATTTATTACAAAAATAACCCCGCTACGGTCCTGTGAGAGTTATGAATCCTGCTCTCCAAACAAGAACTTCAAAACTCTGGTTACTTCACTGGTTCCTCAGATGGTTGGGATAGCGTGGAACTTCACAGTGGAGCCATCAGTCGGCAGTATTTATGGCTTCAAAAGCGGAACAGGCGACACTAGCTGTTGCCACCTGTGCCATCTGAAGTGGACACTCAAGCTTACTGAACACGCCCTTCGTTCTACAGATGAAACGTTTGATATTTGTATGTAATTATTGTTGTCAGTATCTGCTGTAACGAGGAATTGTGTGTTTAATATTAAAGTACGGTAGTATTTTTCAGAAACGGAACATCAAGTTCTCTTTTTTAATGTTTAATTTAATGTTAAATGTCTTCATCCTTGCAGGTAAGTCTTTGCTCTTAAAGACAAGATCTTGGAGTTGGTTTGTCATCTATTCAGGCCTATTTTTTGCCTAAATTGTGAATGTTGAACCTACCTGTGAGGCAGAAAGTGTTTATCTTTCCATTAAGAGCAACCAAAATGGAGCATTAGGATTCCAGACTGGATTCCAGCCCGTTCGACAGCAGTCGGTGATGCAAATAGTTGCTCCTGTCGAGGATCGTGTGAAGAGGATGCATGATGCTGGTCTTACAGGGTAACGCCTTTATTTTTTTATAAAATCACAGAAATTATGTTTTTTTGTTACCTCTTTTCTAACTCCCACTGTCTCACAGTCTCTGCCTCATGCAGCTTTTTCAGCCTTCAAAAGATACAAACACACCCACGCTCAAATTTGACCAGTGCTTTGTGTTGGTTTTTCACCCTTAAACGAAAAGAAGTTCTCCTTTCATGTACTCACTGTTCCTCCATCACCCAAACGGACAAAATGATTAGATAAAGTAATTATTTTTGTTGCTGTCAATTGATATGGGTGATAAATATATTTTCAGCTTCGGCCAACCAACAACCTTACAGTGAATAAATTAATTTCTTAATTTAATTTCTTAATTTCTTCAGAAAAACCTTAATCTTGAATATAATCACAGCAACACAGATTGTCACTCATGCATCAAACCACAAGAAAGTCAGATCTTTGAGTGGAAAGCAAAATGGATGGGTTCTTTTCCTCCAAAACCTGGAAGACCTGATTTTGATCAGTTTTTTATTCATAAGACAGCAGACGAGTCCAGACGAGTTTTAAACCGGCTAAAGTATTATTACATATGACTTCTTCTTTGTATGATTACGCTTTAACCCACATTTTGTCTATAAAACTATGCATGAAAAGCACTATACACAAAGAAATTTCTCAAATCTTTGAAATTTTTATATCAAACAACATCACAGAAATGCCTTTAAGAGTGTATAGATGCTATTTTTTATGGACTGATATGAACATCTGCCTGTTTCTCACATCTGAGAAACTTTGTTCTTTTTATAATTACTTCTGTAACTTAGCAGCAATTTGTTTCGTCCATTTGTTTCTTTATTTTTTTTCTCGACCCTAACGAGACTTCATTCAACCGGAGCAGATATTTGCCAAGAAATAGTACAGCATCAAACTTTCATCTGTGGTCGGTTAGTGTTCGAGAGCAGCAGAACTTTGCTCTCCGCTTCTATTTAATGAGCCATCTTTGAGCTGGTGTTAACAAAGGGTTGTGCAAAAATGTTGTACAATATGTAGTGGCCTTTTAAGCCCCCTCAAAAACTGATAACCCCTGGACAAAAGCATTTGTAGAAATGCTAGATGAAGTCCTGTGGAGTCGGACGAGGCCTCTCATTTCCTCTCATTTCCCCTCACGTTTCAGTGTCGCTCTGCAGGCAAATGAGGTCGAGCCCCTTGTTTTCAGAACGAGGTCCATCGCTCTCCTTCGTCTTCTTCCCGCCGTCCTGTTTGTTCAAATGTCTGAGAAACGGAGCACGCTGAAAACAGAAGCTGAGCCCGAGCCGCCGTTGAGCTGAACAAAAATCTCTTTTATTCACATTTTCTTGGCAGTCTCGTCGTCAAACAGCACAAAGTAAGAAAACGCACAACCAAACATTGTCCAGCTCAAACTGTTCAACAAGGTAAAGTGCAGATTCGTCAGTGTTTCTATTCAAGTTAATCTATTAAAAATAAAACTCTCGGCTATAAAGGGGCCTTGCACTGATTAATTAAATGCATTTACATATTTATCCACCGGTTCGGTGCCGTTTCCAGTTTATTAACAACGCAGAAAACCTGAGCGACATCACGCAGATTTTCCTGAAATGACGACTTTATGATAAAAACGGTTTGATCTCAAAACCCAAAACTGGATTAAATAGGAAACAACATTTTCCAGTAATCATTGGACTCAGGTGAGAGGGATCCCAACAAATCCGCAGGCCCCGAATGAGTGCGTCAGAAAATACCTCCAGTCAAACTGCCAGCCACAGAACGAGCTTTTGTTTGGGATGATTGTGTAACACAAAAAGAGGGGGCGGTGGAGAGAAACGAACAGAGTACTACAGTACTACAGTATTTCGAAAAGCAAGCAACGATCACTTGAGAAGGATCAGTACATTAGTAAGTCCGTACAAGCAATGTAAAAACTGGCTGCTTTCAGCAGTTGCGACAACAGTGGCATTCTAATCACAGTGCACTTTTCATCAATCCCTATCATCAGTCTGTTTCCTCTGTTCACGAAATCCCACATAACTCCTGGCAAAGGAGTTCGACCCAGTGGTTTATGCCAGCCAGTTCAGTTAGAGCTACATTAAATCAAACAAGGAGATCTGTTTTAAAGTAGGTAACACTAAAAAACAAAAAAATCTATTTGAATACAGCTGCTATTTCCTTTGCAAAACAAAATAGCCCACGCTTTGTCCCTTTGTTGACACGTGAAGACTCCTTCGTAACATTTGGCGGTTAAAAGGGTGAAGGGGTTTTTCCGCAAAGACCTCCTCGTGCTTCAATGCAGCTGCTCCAGTTCGGTAAACAAAAAAAAACAACGAAAAAATTCAAGCAACAGACAATCCTCCACTCCTTGTGGGCATACGGAGACATGTCTACGATCTACACTGGCTGGATGTCCGTCATGTCTGCTTTGGAGCAGGGGATTTGCAGACTTCTGTGGGAAAGAACAGGGATAAGAAAGTGTAAAAAGACGTCACAGGTCTCCAAAAGGTCTGTCGGCGCGCTCCGCCGGGCACCTTCAGGCGGGAAACCGCGCGGCTCTCTGAAAAACGGCGAAAGCAGAGAGGGCTCGCGTTACTGCCAGGGCCTCTGCGGCGGCGGGTTGGGATTGGGGTAAACGGGCGCCGGTGTCGGGTGGGGGTAGGCGGGCACGGCCGTGTTGGGGTTGGGCGGATACGTCGGGGTCGGGTACTGCGTCAAGACCCTGGCCTGGCTCTGGGAGGCGCTGTGGGCTGGCGAGGAGGCCGAAGAGGAGGATAGGGGAAGGTGGAGGTAGAGAGGGGCGGATGGGGCGGAAGGGGCGGATGGCGCGGTCGGGGTCGGGACCCTCTGCAGGACGACATGGGGGTAAAGCTGAGACTCAGAGCGGTAGAGTCCGGGCAGAGAGGCCTTCAGCAGACTCTCCTGACTCCTGAATGGGAGGGAGACACAACCATCAGACCTCAGCTGATTCAAATAATCTACATCTAATGAAATGTTCGCCTCATGGAGGTTGGGGGATTTGCAGTGAATCAGATTGGTTAATACATCTCAACACAAGAAACTGTGTCGACATTGTGTCCTCAGTCCGGCAAAATACAGCCAACAACCAGCAATAACAGGTATAATTTTAGAAATATACTAGAATGTGCCTTCAATTTTCCGGAATAGAAATGTTTGAGTCGGAACCCCATTGCTTGGAATGTTTTCAGAAACAATAGCCTATTTTTCTAGGCTTCCAACAGGGTTGGAGACACTAAATATCCAGAGTTGTTCCAACCTCTCTTCTTTGTGATACTGAAAGATGGAGAATTTTAAACACAGATTCGTGGCTAAACACATTAAAAGTTGTATTCTGATTTTTTGGGTGGTTTAAATGGTTTGGTGAACCCTTCTCTTGTCGTTAAAGTGTGGCACATCCTTCTCGGTGCAAATGCACTTTTATCTTAATCTTTGTGTGCTTTTTCGAAAGAGATTTTTTTCAGACATGCAGTTGCACGGGAGGATCGCTCACATATCTTCTCTGTATCATGACTGATCACAAAAATACAGAGCGAACATCTTTCTTCGTATTTATTTCTTGTTGCATTATGCATTTTCTTGTCATTTTGGGAACTGGGGCAGTGTGTCCTATGTGCAAAAGTATGACCAACTTAGGTTAATTAAAGATTTAGAACTTCAAACCATCGCCTCACAGCGAGAGGGTTCTGGGTTCGAGTCCCCCGGGGGAACCAGGACCTTTCTGGGTGGAGTTTGCATGTTCTCCCGGTGTCTGCGTGGGTTCTATCCAAGTTCTCTGGCTTCCTCCCACAGTCCAAAAAACCTGCATGTTAGTTGATTGAACATTCCAAATTGCCCTTAAGAGTGAGTGTGCGTGGTTGTTGGTCCTTGTGTGTCTCTGTGTGGTCCTGCGATGGACTGGCGGACCGTCCAGGGTGTACCCCACTTCTCGCCCATTGACCACTGGGGTAGGCTCCAGTCCTCCCGCTACCCCATTAGGGAATAAGTGATTACGGTAATGGTTGGATGGATGGAACTTCAAACCCCCTAATGTGTTGTGTTTAGCACAACTCACTGCTACAACTTGTTGAGCTTTATATTTAGCTTTATTTCAACATCTCAATTTTTCAGCCGGCGGCACGCTGGTGTGGTGGTTAGCACCATCGCCTCACAGCAAGAAGGTTCTGGCTTCGAATCCCCCAGGGGAACCAGGACCTTTCTGTGTGGAGTTTGCATGTTCTCCCTGTGTCTGCGTGGGTTCTCTCTGAGTTCTCCGGCTTCCTCCCACAGTCCAAAAACCTACATGTTAGGTTGATTGGACATTCCAAATTGACCTAAGGAGTGAGTGTGAATGTGCGTGGTTGTTGGTCCTTGTGTGTCTCTGTGTGGCCCTGCGATGGACTGGCGGACCGTCCAGGATGTACCCCAACTCTCGCCCATTGACTAATGGGATAGGCTCCAGTCCCCCCACGATCCCATTAGGGAATAAGCGGTTATGGTAATGGATGGGTGGATGGATTTTTTGGCCCTTTGGTCATACAGAGCATTTTATCTGTGTCAGAGCTGCAGATTCACCTTTGGTATCCTCTGTTCTCATATCCATTGAGGGCTCCGGTCAGGTAGAGCGGGCTGTCGGGAGCCAGACGGGGGTTCATCCTTTGGGAGAGGTGGAAGATCTTGGGAGGGGGAAAGGCCTCCCACTCGCCCTCCTCCCTCTCCAGCCAGCACTCACTGCGACGGGCTGAGCGCTTCTCCCTGCGTCTGACGAGGAGACAACGACGCAAGTTTACGAGAGTTTGAGGTAAATCAGTGCCGCTTGCGCCCCGGTGGCCTGGCTCACCTACTCCGTCCATCTTTTTTGCTGCGGTCCCGACCCGATCGTTCCTGAAGGCAGCAGATGAGGAAGGACAGGGACATGGCAAAGATGACAATGCCGCTTACCACCGAGGCTAATACAGCCACTCTCAGTCCATGGTCCTCTGGCCTGGGGATTGCTGTCATAAGGAAATGTGGACAAAACGTGAAACCTCCTTTTATCCCTAAATAATTATTTAGTGGCAGATTTTAAATGATTCATCTCGAGATTTAGCAAAGCAGCTCTCTGATTGATTCACTTCCTATTTGCCTGGAAGTCTGCCACGAATCTTAGTTCAAGCTCGGTCTTCTTTACTTTTTAAAAGTGGATAGAAACTGATAACTCATGACAACATTTGCCTCTTGAAATATAAAGTATGCTCCCTGAGCACAACTTCACGGGCGCTTCATGCAAGCTGCTGCCAAATTTAATACAGAGCTGTTTTCTCAATTCAAATCTAGAACAAGAACAAAGAAGGTGCTTCAAGATGGTGGGTTGTATCTCCACGGGCTTAATTTCTGCCTACACACCTTCACAGACAGGGAGGTAGTTGCTCCACTGAGCCTTGCCGTTCCTGGCCTCGCAGGAGATCTTGTCGCTGCCGACCAGCTGGAATCCCTCTCTGCACCAGAAGGTCAGCACGCTGCCGATGGAAACCCCCGTTCCACTCTCCACGTAGAAGGAACCCAGACGAGGGGGCAGGACGGGAACACAGGACAGACCTGGTGAGAGGGGACACAAAACATCTGCTGAGATGGAGGACTAAAGATAGCTGGTGTTGAGTTGGTCCAGAGTTAGTGTAGTGGTCAGTAGCCCTGCCTGTCCTGCGGGAGACCGGGGTTCAATTCCCCAACGGGAGATCCACATGTATATGTTTCTACTTTGGAAGTTGCTTTGAAAAAAGCGTTGACTAAAAGCATAAACAATAGACATTTAAGTTAAAGGTATCTCAGTTCGTTGGGGGTTCTGCCCTGCTGCCTCACAGTAGGAGGTCCCTGGTTCTAGTCCCAATGGGGTTTAGAACCGGGGACCTTCCAGTGTGGAACCGCTGCACGCTCTCCCTGTGTGTGCATGAGTTCTCTCTGGGTACTCCCAGTATTCCGGACTCCTCCCAGTCTCCCAAAAGGTCAAGTTAATTGGAAAGTGAATGAGAACGCCTGTTGTTGTTTGTATCTGCATGGCCCTGTGATGGACTAGCAACCCGTCAAGGGTCACCCTGTTGGGAACAAGCGCTACAGAAAATGGATGGATATCTCAATTCTTCGCAATTTCATCAACCGATTGATTGTATTATCCGACTGAACCTCCGAAATAGAATCAAAAAGCTTCTTGAGTGTTTTTTGGGGGGTGAAAAGCACTAAAACTACAGCTGTTTTGGCCATTCTGTGCCAGAAAGGGATAGACACAATCCTTGATAGAGGATTTTAGGTCAACTCATTTGGGACTGAACACTCCCCATCGCTTCATTATGCACAGACACACGCACGCTGCCCTATTTGATTAATTCGGTGTGGAGGGGAATCAGGTTTTTTGACTCTCAGATACTTTTGGGTTTTTTTCCAGAGGCTGAACACTTTTGATAATGTTGATGATAAAACACTCTTAAGAACTGCACAATGCAATACATTTAAAATCTCTCCAGATTTCTTCACTAGATGGAATCATAACCCAAAGGTATTCAATCCCTTTCTTTTCACTCATATCTTTTCCCACCTTATTATTTCACTTAGAGTGCACATACGGTTATCTATTCAAGGGAAATTAGAGAAGCATTTCCTTTGGAAATGGGCAGATATGGAGAGATGGAGCAGCAGGGAGAATTGTTTTTGATCTTCCTTGTGCTTCAGTGCACAAATACCTCTGAGAGATCTTGTGATGTAATAGCTATTGTTAGACTGTGCTACCGGGGCTTAAACATACAGTAGAAGTGATTGCAGAAAGCTGTTCTGTATCTTGATATCCTCTTCCATGTGGAGAAATCAGAAAATTGCTTTTTTATTTGACCTGACAGTTTCACGAAATGATTGCATGCCATAGCCATCAGAAGTCTGTTGAGCAGTTCGGATTCTGGCAACCCTTGGTACTAAAACCTTCAGGAGAGCCGGTTCTTTAAAGACAGACATTAATGTCCAACCATACCGTAGATCAGAGACAGTGCAAAATACCGGATGGTCGGTAGACTTGGAGTGGACTGTTTACGAGGATGCAAGAAACCAAGCAGTTTATCTATAAAAACTCAAAAATGTCCACCAGTTGGATCAAAACAGTCAGAATTAGAGCAAAATGTTTTATCTCCTTCACATGCACAAACTTTTAAAGGTGAAAATCCTAATCGAAAGAGCATGAAACGTTTAACAAAAAGCTGTGGATGACATTTCTTCTGAAAGAAGAGTCAACTGTTCCCTCTCCCTCACATAATGGTTCTCAACAATATTCCATCCCAAGCTATAAATGAATAATAAAGAATACTGTGAAGGTTTTCTGGTTGCAGACAAAATTAAACCATTAAAAACGATGGATCACACACACCTTTCCCTCAAATGCTACAAACCCAAAACAGATCAGACATTTCTCCACAGTTTTAACTAGTCAGTACCTACATCTGGCAGAAAGTTCCCCATTTTGATGCAAAAAGGCAATAAGTCTGAGTCGGAATGGCAATTCTTTATGGGTTTCTCCAGGAGAAAGTTCTCGAAATGACGATCAATGTTTCCCATTGTTAATGTGGAATATCGTTTATTTCAGATCTATAAAATCGTTCGGGGATAATGTTTGGTTTGCCAGTGATGTGATAATGAGCAATAGCCAGAGGGGTGCGTGATGCTACGCTAGGTGGTGTAATCTGCGTGTGAGTGGATGGGGGGGGGGGCAGGGAGGGGTGTCATCTCAACATAAGACCCCGCGAACATGCAAGCTGCTCTCTGCTGATTAGAGGTGACAGATGGGAGGATTTCTGCAACATTAGCGACAGTGAGAGAGAGGATTCCGTGATCCTGCGCAGAGACGAAGGCCTGCCCTCCCTCATCCAGACACACAACAGGGCACACACAGCAGACACGTGCGTTCAGGGTACAGTGCAGGCAAAACAAGGACAAGCCGACTCTGTTGTTAAATGGCAAAAGCAAAATCAATCCTATTTCCCCCCGGAGGTCTTTTTCTAGGTCTATTGCTGAGTGCGTAACATACAGTACATAGTCCCAAACACTGCCCAGATGCTCAAAGTCGAGTTTATGCATCTTTGATCAACTGGTATCATTTTAAAATCTAAATTAAGACCGAAATCTGGTCAAGATAAAAGCTATCAAAGATTATTGGCTTTGATCTTTCACCCAAGTTTGAATATCAAAGCCAAGAAAAAGACGATTTAAAGTTTGAAGAAGATTATGCGGACGGTTATCCCTAATTTTTTCACAGTTCAATTATAGGACTGGTGCGATTTGCAGCTGAGCGCGAAGCTTTTGGATGACAGGACACTCTTCCATGACCTCAGAAGAGGTCATCTTTCTAAACTGGCAAAGGTGGCATTACTGTATGTCTTTGGGCCAGGAATAAATTACCTCCTCAGACAGAGGAGTTGAACCCTTGTACATACTAATCGTATTACCATATCTGCCTATAATCACATTTAAGGCACATCATATAAGTTGATTAAATTGCGTTCAAAAATATGAAAAAGCCCCCAAAAAACTCAGTCAAAACCCATATGGCTGCATAAAGGACAGGGATGAGGCAGAGCTTTCAGTTGACTTTTTCTGACGCTCGGTTTTAGCCAAAAGTTACCAAAAAAAAGAAAAATAAGAAAATAGTGGCTAAGATGTGTTTCCTGCTGGGGGACCCAGGCCCTCCAGAGGGGACTTGGAATAAAGCTGCTGCTTGTCTACATTAAAAAATGATTCAGCTCCTGGTTTGGATGTATGCTGGTTGCTTGCCTTTGGAAGGTTTCCAGGCAGGTCTAACGGAATGAAATATCCCTACAGGCCTAGAAACACCCTCAGCTCTACTGTGAGTAAAAAGACAAGCGGATTATAATGAAAGGATAAAGTAGACAGACAGAAAATTTAAAGTTCAGACTTATGACAAAAAATTACACATTTAAACACAAATTATATTCTTGCCCAATAAGTAGCTAATTTCTTCAGAAGTTTTTTTGTGTAAAAATATTTACTCTACTGTTTGACAGATTTGAATATCCAAATGAAAGGGAAAAAGCGGTATTGATAATGGATGGATGGATGGAATGAAAGATTACTAAGGAGTGGAATTTGTATCTGAATTAAAGAAATATGATAACACATTTAAAAAAGTACACTGAATGATCAAATCAAATATATTCTTTTAAAGAGTTTATCACATCTTCAAACCATGAGTTCACACAAGGATCTCTCATACAGAAACATTGCGCAACAGCAATTGATTGCTTATCAGATCGAGAAGTAAATGAACTTTGCCTTGTTTTCACTGGGACTTGGGACTGGATCTATATTCAGCTGTTATTTCTACCATGGAGCAAAAACGAAAGATTTTTTTATTTAATGACCGCGCCTGTGGCAACGGGCAATGATTTGCAGGCCGAACATCCCAGTTTGTACCCGTGCCTCCAAAAACACTAATCACATTATGTCACATTCACTCAGAAAGCAGATGCAGACGATAATTATGCCATAACAAACAATGCTTCATGTGAAAAATAAAACCAGTGACTCTTAAAATGCTTAAGGGCCTGGCTCCCATCTACTTGAATGCCCTTGCAAAGGCTTACGTCACAGCTCGGTCACTCTGGTCAACAACGGATTGTTGTCCAGCAGGGCCTACACCACCATTAAGACAATCCAGACTGTTTTCATGTGTTGTTCCAAGATGGTGGAATGACCAACTGAGCCCTACAAGAGCAGCAAATCTATCTGCAGTAAAACTCTTAAAGACCCACCTCTTCAAAGATCTCCTATCCTACCTCTATACCCCCTCTTTTTGTGGTTTCCTCTATCTCTTTGCTGTCACCACTGACTGACTAGGGATTTTCCTCTAGAGAGCTTATTGTCAGATTGATGGTAACTGTAACATTGTATCTACTTTGTTAGTCGCGTTGAATCAAAGCGTCTGCTAAAGGCATAAATATAAACGCAAACATAAAATAGTGGCTTCATTCTGAAAAAGATGGTGATTTAGCCTTACCCACGATCCATTTTTAACCCCAATTGTCACGAAGGCGGATCTTGGAGGAGGACTCAGTCGTGGAGATTCAGAAAACAGGGTTTATTGCAAGAAAAACACTCAAAAAGAGTGGATGTCCAGACAAAGTTCAAAACAAGGCTGTGAGAAAACTATGGACAAAGTAACAAAGCAAGATTAACATGACACTGGAAAAACATGGCTGTGAGAAAACTATGAACAAAGTATCAAATCAAGATTAAACATGACTATGAACACTAAGTATCAAATCAAGTAACCAAGGCTATGGCAAAGTAACAAATAAAGATTACCAAAACTGTGGCAAGACTGTGGCAAAACATGGCTATGACAAAAAACGTGGCTATGGCAAAGTACAAACAAGATTAACATGGCTGTGGCAAAAACAAAGGCTATGGCAATAAAGTAAACCTGACGTGGCGAGGGAGGGGTGACGAAAAGTGACGAAGGACGAAAATGCACTGGCACAGGACATGGGAAAGGAGGACTATTTAAACACATGAGAGAGGGGAACCCCAGGTGTACACAATAGGTAATCAAGACATGACGAGACACCAGACATTCCCCCAGACGTGACACCAATAAAGGGACTTTGCGAGCTAATGCCGAGTGGAAATTTGTTTTTTTCATTGTACGATGCTGATTTCCCCCTGAACTCTACCACTGGTAAAATGAAACAATGTGTGTGGCTTAAACCCTGATTGATGAGCCACCTGGATCTAACTTTTCCCAAAGGCCAGTGATTGAAAGCACAGCTTTTAGACGCCCCACCCAAACCCTCTCCCGCCTCCTTCTGAGGACTTCTCGGCTTGTTAAACACTGGACTTGACAACGATGTCGGCTCCCATTTGGAAATAATCTTAAAAATACTACGTGAATCATATCTGAGTCATGTGTCATGAGAGAGTTGAAGGGGGGAAAAAAAGACTCTCATCAAGATGATGCGATGAAGGGAACGATGATGGGATTAAATAAAAGCACGGACAATAATTTTCATCTCTGCGGAAGATGCAGCCGTTCTGATTTTTTACAACGTTCCCAAGCTGATTAAAAACAGGAGCGACTCACGGTACACAGAAACACAAAAAACAGGCAGAGTGGGTTTTATCGAAGAAAGAAAATCAAGTCTGCCTATCACCATTGGACCAAAACCTGCCAAGAAGTAAGGCACCTGGGTTTTATCGGTGTTCCTCTGCCAGCCGTACAGGTTCTGGGTTCAGACATTTTAAGAAAAAGAATCATTTAGCTGTGGTGGAATAATGTGGTTGGCTTTTTGACACGCACACATCTGCCCCCCCGAACCCCGAACAGCCAGCCAATGCTGAGCAAACATTCCCTCGGACCGTATTCCCGTTAATCACCACCCCCACTCGCCCCCGCCGGGGAATCACTCCAGAGGTCTTTCATTAAATAAAGATTAGCCTATTTGCATTAAAGATTCACACGGGCACATTCACCAAAATTGGAATGAGTGAACCCATCAGACGTGCACTGCACGTGCCCATAGCATGAGCATGAGTACGAGACAATTCCAAGTGCTTCACGAAGAATTTTAAAGTCGAAAAACAAAGGAGGTAAATGAATCAACAGCAAAATATTAGCGAGATAAAAAGTGAAAGGTGCAGATAAAATACATTCAGTTTCCATATGCTCGGTTAAACAGAACCGTTTTCAGCCTGGATTTAAATTTTTGTCAGAGCTGGGGTTCTGCCTCACCTCTTCAGGAAGACTGATCCAGATTTTAGGAGCGTGGAACTGAAATGAAGCCTGAAGCCTTTTTTTTCTGACTCTGGGCACCAGCAGGAGACCAGAACCTGAAGTTCTCGGAGTCTGAGCTGGTTCATACGGCTCTAACATGTCTAACATGTATTTCGGTGCTTGACCATGAAGATAACTCATGTTTTTAAAGTCTATTCTCTGGCCAACAGGAAGCCAGAGCGGAGACCTGAGCACTGGACTGGTATTTCCTGCTTCTGGACGCTCTGCAGCAGAGGACACATTACGTTTAGAATGCGCAATCCTACTGTTTCAATCCACTCTACATTTTGGCACAGTTTAGATCTGACCTGGACGGCAGGTCACACGGAGAAGATTTTCCGTTGTTACAACTCAACCGTTTTTTTCTCTTCAGTCAAAAGCCACTGTGTCACGTTAATCCCAGCTGGCTTCGACTGATTTGGTCTCTTTGGGTTTTAACACAAAAAAACTGATTAAAAAGTCATTCCATGTAATTTTTCTACTGGATGGTTTGCAGGAAGAAAATTGTCATTGGCCATTTCTGGTAACAACCTGGTGACAGAGGTGGTCTTTAAACCCTTCACATAAGATTCAAGTAAAAATGATCAAACTTTACAAAATCCATTTTTGTTTATCTGTCTTAATTCCTAATTCAAAGAGACAAGTCAATCACTTCAATCTGTATAAAAAAGAGTTAATGGTTCATTATTAGTCTCAACAGGTGTTTTATAACACTACTGCCAGACTTAGTGCATAAAAAGAAGTTTTTTTTTGCTACCAGGACAAAAATAAATAAAGATAGGAGGCAAGAAAATGGAAAAAAAGTTGCAAACCTTTCAAATCATAAAGTCACCATATATGTTTTTTTTACTTTCAACACACTACCAACACTAGTTATCAGGGAAACAACTTCCCAAACATGTAGCATTGAAATGCCTTTAATGAAAAGATGAAAGCTTTTCACAAAAATGTGCCTCCGGCATCAGCGTCTTATGTGGGAATCAATAAGGAGTCTTTGGTTTTGTAACTTTACAGATCTTTGTAGCAAAAAGCTTGAAAAACAACGCTTACAGAAAACTCGTGTTAGCCCAATTCTTTAGTTGGAGTATAAAAAATCAGCGCTGGGCTCTTCTCAGACAAAAACCTCTGTCTCAGAGAGAGATCTGGGTGTGATGGGCATTATCTTCTTGGCTAGGTCCGCCTCCTTGAAGGAGGACTGGACATATCCGAGTCCTAATGGCTAGTTCCCACTGGTCATGAACAGGCCAGGCCTAATTCATGCAGATGACATCGGAATATGGTTACCAATGGTGTGTGTTTGTGTTGACCTAAAGGTGGATCTAATGCAACAGAGAGAGAAAATTAGAGAAAAGAAAAGACACAGCCAGAGACTTTAACATAAAATATAGTTATAAAAGAAAATAAAACAATCAGTCATTTACATAGATCGTGTGATAGCATACAATGCTAAAGTGAGTAATTGTAGCCAAATTCTAACAGGCGGCCTGATCTTCAAACCCCCCAGAAAGCAGACTAGATTAAAAATCAGGCTTTTCCTGGGCCTGCTGATGTTACCAGACACTAAAAGTCTGAGGGGAGGCTCATGGGAGCGGGCAGTCCAGGCCGATGACCGACTCTCTAATCTGGTTTCATCCGTCTGCTCCCGTCTTCTTCTTCTTCTTCTTCTTCTTCTTCTCGGGGCTTTGCTTCCCTTTTTTGCTGCTTACTAGCTGCTCTGACCTCAAACATCCCTCCTCTGTGTCCGTTCCGTCGGGGCGTCTATTTTGGTTTTGGCCTGACCGATGCGCTGGACGACAGCCGATTACCTAATCCTCCCGGCCCTTGCGCGTTTCAAACGTTCCATATGACTTCATATTTTGGGTTCAAGAGGACGTTTGGGTTTTTTTGCTTTCCTTTTCCTTCGTGTTTTTCTTTCTCACACGAACCGAGCAAGACACGAACGCACGAGAAAAACCGCTTTGTTGACGGTGATTAAACTTTAAATAGACGTTGGGAGGCACCGGCTCTGTTCATTTGCTCGCAGCTTTAGCTGGATCCCCTCAGAGGATAATCTGTCCGTTTCAGCGGAGCGGGGGGGGACAGTCGGACTGAGCTAACACATCACTGACAAAGCAGAAAGTCATCTCCACTTCTGGCTTTTTTTATTTAAACCCATGAAACAGAAAGAGCAACAACAAAAAAATTAAAACCCGTTCTGACTACCTTGCAAAAAAACACCCAAACAAACCAAAAAAAAAGAAAATCCCTCATTAAACTTAAATGGAAAGATGCAAGAAACCTCTCGCTCAACTGGATTTCTCTGTAGTGGCTGCCACTTTATTTAAAATGGAGTAAGGTAACTAAAACTAATTCACCCACACTGGAAATGCAGGAAAAAGGCATACCCAAAGGATCAATTACAATACTTTAAAGACAAAAGGGGCATTCAGCTGGGAGCTTGACCCTTTTTGCAAAGAATCCTCCTAAAAAGATTGTCGATCAAAGGGGGAGATAAGAGAAATATAAGTCTGACCTATCCTGAGATGTTTCGTTTCCGTTTCTGCTCCTGTCCAGTTTGTCTGTTAGAAGGAGAACTCATACTTCCACGTTATCAGGAAATATTCTCGGGTTTCCATGGTTAGAGTCTGCGGCT